TTATAAAACAACATGTTGCACTTTATAACCACACTCCATAATGAATATCAGCAACAACTGCCAAATAATTACGCAATATAAATATATTAAAAAAATGAGTGACATAATACTTTACTGTAAATCACATAATATATTATATAAAAAAGACACACACACACAGTCCTGTTAAAATATCAAAATTCCAATATTGCACTTTATACATCAATACCTTGCACTTTATACAACAATACGTTGCACTTTATATCACGACGCGTTCCATGTACTAAAGTTACACTAATTCCAACGATCGGTCGAATAATATTAGTTGGTTAATGTCGGATTTAATTAGTTTTAAATAAACAAAATAACCGAACATGCTGAACTATATGAAAAAAAAATCCCGATTTCTTTTTATTTATTTATTATATATGATACTATTTTTTATCTATATTTTTTATGTATTGCGAGTGCACGTTAGTGTTATACGGATTGCAAATAAATGTATATCAGATTGCACAAAATCAAACGATATCTGACAAACATAAATTCAGTACAAATTTTTATACTTTGGTTCTATTATTATTATTATTATTATTATTATTATTATTATTATTATAATTATTATTATTATTATTGTTATATATCCTGAATTTCGGTATGATGACATTTTTATTTAAATAACTTAAATAAAAACCAATCTATATTAAAAAAAAATTATTTTGTAAAATTTTTATTCAATAGCAACCACAATTGATATGACTAAATTTTTCGATTTCAAATTTTACATTTCTAACAATTATATACTTTTACTTTTAAAATACTGAATGCAATATTATAAATATAAATAATAAGATTCTCAATTATTTCGGTTAAGTCAAATAGCTGACCTAATAAATTGAGCATTTATGTTCGATTTTTAATTTGGATTGTGATAAAAAAAAATAGCATCGATACGATTAGTGGCTCACAATCTTACACATTTACGATCAACGTCGTGCACATTATTGTTATGCAAATAGCACGTTAATGTCACACGGGCTGCACATCAGTTTTCGAAGTTGACCGGAGTAATATTTTTCGATTCAAAACTTTATACGTTAGTACAAATATAATTTTCAAAATTTAAAAGTTCGTTTATTTGGGTTTACTATCAGAGGTTTTAAAAACTACTTATCACTATCTTTCTATTTATTAAATTATTAATAATTTAGTATAAGTATTTATCTCACTAATTAATTTATGTTATACTTGAAGTTTTAAAAATTTACAAAATAGTCCCTAACATTAACCTAATTTCCATAAACTAGACCCTAAATCAATTCACACCCAAATCACCCCAAATTACATTTCATACACACCAACACCATTCACACGCCATTTCGCACAATTCTTTAACAGAGAGCATCAAATTAATTTGCACCTAAATCATAATTCATACAAATCAGGATGCAATTCATCAGCTCCAATAGTATTTCCCAAATTCACACAATTCATCCACAAAGATCAACAAATTAATTTGAACCAAAATCAAAATTCACCAAAATAATCATGCAATTCCTCAGCCCCAATATAACTTCCGGCCGCTGATTTCATCTCCCGTTCAGATCTCCGGCAAGCTCGTCCTGTTCAGGTCTCAATCCGTCAACTATTCCTCTGCAATTCGACGGAACGGCGGCCCCCGCTGTCAATGCAAACGGGCGATGCATGGGCGGGCTGAGCGAGTTTGAGACAGGTGCGGGTGACTGTGATGGCAGTGCTGGGATGGACGACGAAGCTCGACGAATGTTAGCGGTGGCGACGGCAGTGACCGATTGGGCGATGAGG